GTCTGAGATGTTTGTCCAATGTACATAGCAGACGGACACTTTCGGCACATGATAGCATAGATTATATTTCTGGAGGCGCAGGAATATGTATTCTTGATCTTGTAACTCACTTGGTTAGGCCCAATAATGGTGTCAGCAAAGTGAATAAGTGGACAAAGCTGGCAACGGTGTTTGTTGCAAGGGAAAGTACCAGGGTTGGTATTAGTGTGGTATGTCCTGTGGTTGTTGGTAAGAATCATCTTGAGGTTAGGTGGTTGTCTATAGGAGACTATGGGTCTGTCTCCCAGAGCTTCTTGGAGTTTAGTGTCCTGTTCCAGTATAGGCTGTAATTTATTGATAATGTGTTGGACAGGTTTAAGTTGGGAGTTGTAGGTGATGACAAGTGGTGTTCTATTGTTGGTTTTCTTGGGTCTGTCTTGTAGTAGATGGTTTCTAGGTAATCGTTGGGCTCTTTCAATTTGCTTTTTTATTTCTTTGGGTGGGTAGTTGAGGTTTATAAATGCTTGGTAGAGATCCTGAAGTTTCAGTGGAATTAGAGCAGATGCGGTTGTATTGAAGGGCTTGGCTATAGATGATGGATCGTATGGTGTGTGCTGGATGGGAGCTAGAAGCATGTAGGTAACTGTATGAGTCAGTGGGTTTTCTGTAGAGGGTGGTGTTTAATTTTCCATTGTTGATTTGTACTGTGGTGTCCAGGAAATGGATCTCTCGTGTGGAATGGTCCAGGCTGAGGTTAATGGTGGGGTGTAGGTTTTTGAAATCTCTGAGGAATGTCTCCAGTGTTTCTTGGCCATGCGTCCAGATCATAAAGATGTCATCGATGTAGTGTAAGTAGAGAAGGGGCAAAAGGGGACGGGAGTTGAGGAAACGTTGTTCTACACCCCACCATTAACCTCAGACTGACAAACATTCAGATTACTTGAATGCAGAATTGCAGATCACAACTTTCAAATGATGCTTGACTTATACCTACATAAACTTTCTATTATTGATAACTAAAGTCATTATACTTTAATAGGTAAACATAAATTAAAATTGATTTTTTTCCAGGCTTGCTCTGGTTTCCATGGTGCAAAAGCAAAATGGATTTCTTTTTAACTGGATATATCCCGAGTACAGAGAATGTTAAAATTAGACTTAGTACAACTATAGTGAGCTTTATACCTAAGACTCAAACTCTGAGGAACAAGTCACTGTAAGACCACACAAGATAATCTGTGAATTAACTTTTTGCTGGCCTTACAGCTCAGAGTATAAGAAAGAATGAACAGTGTCAATATTCATTCAATGGAATTGAATTTTGTTTAACTCTTAAAGAGAAAGATCTCTTAAAAGCAAGAAGGAATTTGCAAAACCGAGAGCAAACTGGCAAATGTACGTGATACTTTTTTCTTTTTTGATTATTTTTCCATTGTTTATAATTGATACTTTCACTGGCCTTGTAATATTTAAAGAATTATTTTAAACCATTTCTTTCAGTTTGTTCTCCAGTCTGTGTGTTTTTTAGCTCTTTTAAAAGAGCATATGTTGCTTCCACCAATGAGCAGTTAGCAATCACTTAGTATGTATTCATGTCTTTCATAAAAGGCTCAATTTCCAGAGAAGAATATATTTTCTGCAAGCACAGTCCATTCAAAATCATTCCTTCCATCCGAACAGTAAGTATTCATGCCAGCATGCACAACAGACAGGACCTGATCCACCACTGAACTGTTACCATAGGACTCTGGTGTAGCTCTGTTGATGTCAGTGAAGTTATACCAGTATGAAACTGGAGTTATCCAAGGATAATTCAGGCTCATACTGTTAATGTCATGGCCATTTTGATGTACTTTAAAAAACTGTTAAGGCTTTGCAGGAACTGCACAAACAACAAAGTGTATTCTCTGGTTTTTGTTTGTTTGACTCGTGCTAACAATTATTTCATTTATTTACCACCTTTTAGTGGAAGATCTCAAATTATTTTAATGATATTTAAATAAGACTCAAATTGTTCTATGATGAAGGGCAAGGTGAGACACGCATTGAGTACCTACCTTACCTCTAAAACACAGTCATCTCTTTCCAATCGTACTAAATAATGCAGCCTAACAACTTAGGGTGGGAAGTGAAGTGGAATATCATAGCCAGCTGAAGCTGCGATGGGAATTTGAGCTGGCAGAATATAATTACACAAATTGGAATCTGGCAAGAAGAATTTAATTAAAACTCTCCGATCCTTAGAGAAAGTTCCAAACAATTTTTAATGCTCACAGGTGGTCAGCTCAGGTTTATGCCTCATGCAAAAGACAGTAACGTCAGCAGGACAATTCCTGGCAGCACCATGTGCCACTAGTTCATTTCAGAATAAAAAAATCTTAGATCCCCTACTAAATCATATCGCTATTTCCAGAAGCACCTACTGATGACCAAAGATCACTCTACTAAGCATTGACACAGCCTATACAGCCTAGCCTATGCAATCTGACAGGGTCACAGATTATTTTATGTGACAGATGATATGGCTGCAGGAATAAACTAAATCCGTTATGTCCAATAATTTGAAAAGTTCTTAATACATCACTTTAAATTTTTAAAAGGTTTACTGAAATTTAGTTATTGATAGTGCACCCCATTTTCTCGGTGCATAACAAAAACGGAAACCAATTGTTGCCAGCAAGAGGGCACAGGGCAAAGAAATGGTACAATTTAGTACTACGCTGTCCTCAAACAAAATCTCTCGTTCACAGCCTTCTGCCTTCTACCCTTTGCCTAGAATATTAGTTCTCTGATGAGGTAAATATCTAGTGAAATAAAAAATTTAATTCAAAATCAGTTTGGGCCCTGAGGCCTCTCGGAGGAGAGGTGCACATTCTGGGTCTTTGAGACTTCCATGAGATGGGCATTCTTAGAGGAGTTCAAGTCTACGCAAGTTCTTATACTGTGCCTATCACCATGGTTGGTCCTGGTTTTCTAGTTAACCTGAGCTTTCACACTGGTGAATAAAGGAAGAGATGGACTTGAGGGTAATGGAGAGTTTCACAAAACAATTAAACTACATACCTTGTCTTAAAGCTATCAGGTGGCATGAGTTCCAGTGTATGCGTTGGGCCATACAGATTGACTACAAAGAGCTTTATCGTTGGGTTTGTTTGACCTGCCTTTGAAAAAAAAAAAGAAAGTAGAAATTTTAGCATGTAATGTAGAGACACTAGAAATAATGACAACTAAATATAGGACTACACCAATGTGAATATGTTTTTTATAATCTGAAAAAACTTATAGTGATCTTCAATTGAAGACAATAACATTCTGTCCCGCTAACACCCATGAGTTGCTCAGTCACATCAGCTACATTTTGAAAATGTGGTTGCAAACCCAAAGTGCTAATCACATACTCGTTATCATGCTGCCATTCACTAAACACAGATATTGTAATACAGGGGACTCAAACTGCTGAGCCGGTCCGAACCAGAATGACTGTGCAATACACTCTGGGACCCCTGGTGGGTGGGGGAGAGCTATCAATTTCCAGCCTCCAAGTCCCACCCCTTCCTGCCATCACCCCATCCTCACACTCCTAACCGGACCTCATCCCCCAAGCACACAGCTTTGGGGATCCAGGTCCCTATAAGTACCAGTTGCCTGGTACATATCAATAGAGTCTGTTGCTGTCCCATTCCCTGGGTCATTTCCCTGGGAAGCTGCTCTGTCTAGCTCTCTCTCCAGCTTTGTGGTCAAGTTCTCCCTGGACCCTGACCAGGGTTCTGAAAGTTGTTGCTATTTGTTAATGGCTAGTCTTCAGCCACTGGACCTGGGTTCTGAACAGGTCTGAAGCCCAGCTCCTGCTTGGAGCTGTTCAAAGTGCTGATATCTTCCCAGTCATCCCTTAGGTCTGCCTGTGTTCAGGTCCAGAAACTTTTTTTATATCTGCTTGCTGGGCTCTGATTGGCTGCGTGAGAAGAGCCACTCTAGTCTACTTGGAGACCTCTTTTCTGCTCTTCTCCCTGCAGGGTGCAGCAAGGCCTCCAGCTTTCAGCAGAGATGTCAGACTTAGGTCACCCCGTGCTAAGTTTGCATTCATGTAGTCCTGTTAAGAGCATGCCAGTAGCATCCACATGGGGCAGTTAGGGTGCATCTACACTGCTCTGTAGCTCAAAATAAGATATGCAGTTTGAGCTATGCAAATTGCGTATCATATTTTGATCTTATTTCAAAATAGCTTATTTCGTAAATTTTGAAATAAGCTGCTATTCCAAAACATCCCTTACTCCTCGTGGAATGATGTTTACAGGGACATCGGAATAGCGAGCCCATTATATTTTGCAATAAGGCTTGCTGTGAAGATGTGGGATAGTTATTTCAGGATACTCTGGTATCCCGAAATAGCATTGCAGTGTAGATGTAGCCCTGGAGTGCTACACTTGAGAGTGCTTTACAAACCACACCCCTCTGCAGTACCATATAGACTAGTTCTATGCTTCCAAACTGTAAGACCATGTCAATCTTTAGCATGCAGTGCAAAAAAGGAGAGCTGGCATTCCGTACAACAAGGTAGCCACAAGATCAGTCTGAATGATCTTTGTAGTAATGTTCCAGTGATGGATCTAATATTCAAATGTGGAGATTCATTCTAGGAGACAGCCAAGGGAAAATCACTAGGATCTCTCATGCCTCAAAAGACTGTTGCTGCCAGAAGGAGAGTAACCAAAGAAAGAGTAATAAATAGGATTGGAGGGGGTGGATGAAATATCTGGGGAAGGAAAGGAAGGCAGGTCAGATGGCATCCTGCACTTTCAAATATTTTAGGTTCACATCAATAATATAGCTATTACTCAGATCACTGCCTGTCCTGGTGACAAATGCCATCTCATTCTTTCCTTGTGCTCCGCCTGTTGTATTGTTGTAGTCTCATGTCCTTTGTCTTATATTTAGATTGTGAACTCTGCGGGGGGCAGGGAACATCTTTTTACTCTGTATCAGTACAGCTCCTAGCACAGTGGTGTCCTGATTCTTGACTGGGTCTCAGAAGCACTACCACAGTCAATGCCAGATTGTAAAATGTTATAAGATTTTATAAAATATAATAAAACTATAAAAAATATCTATTTGCAGCTTGCCTGCTTCTGAGTAGCTCGAAAATACTCCGTTGATGTGGAGTGGTAAGTGGTCTCCTTCTTGCACTTTCCACATATTTAAAATCATGTTCTTTTTTCATTTTTACAAAATTAAATGTGTTTTTTTTTTTTAGTTCTGGGTAAGATTCACTATTCTGAGCTCAGCCTAATAGGTATCTATGTGGATTGACTCCATAGCTCATCAAATGGTTAAATACTATATCTTATTGGAATCATTCATGGCTTACTATTGAGTCTGTGTTTCACACAGCAATAAAAGTATAGTTAGTACTTCTCAAAATTGCCTCTAATTTTTTTCTGCAGGGTGTGGGGAAGGGTCCAGCTCCTCCTCCTACCCCCAAAGAACATGTCATAAGCCAAGGTCATAAAGACTGAGGATCCACAGGAAGTCAAGACCCTGTGTGTGTTGTACTCTACTTGAATCCACTACTGCTCCAGAATTTTACGCTCCTCCCATCTCCATTCTCTGGCAACTTCCCCATCCCCCCGTCCCCCATAGAGCTTCTTCAGGTGGTTACTGCTACTGGATTTTCTCACTCCCTTCAGGTGGGTTGTATGTGAGGCAAGGAATTCAGACAAGTTATGTTAATGTTGGGTTCTGCAGGCTCAGTGAAAAGATGCTCTAACCCCCCTTAATCCTTTCTTTCCCAACCCCTCTCTACTGTGCAGTTTCCACAACCCACAGAGAGTTTCCAAGTTTCCACAACCGGCAGAGAAGGCAGACTTCCTGTTCATACAGAATGGGCAAAACTGTGCGCCAAGAAAATTTAAAAAACATCTAACGCACACATTTTTACTACTAGTAGTTAAAAACTTGCTTGTGTGCATTTGACTCATTATAGGGATATTTACATATCCAGTATGGTACTCAAAAGGGTCCTCACTGAAATACCAACACACAATTTCTTTGTAAATTGAACTGATCTCATCACCCATATCTGAATGATGCGGGACTGGAGACAGTTGTATTTCTGAACTCATGAAGTTTAGAGAATCGCTTAGATTGTGTCTGCAAAATCAGAGAGTAACCTTTGTTACACAAAAGGATATGAGTAAGTTTGCTCATGTGAATAGGCTCCATTAACTGCAGAATAATGTCTTGTGTGAATTATGGTGCATAGGCATGGGACTGAAGGTTTTGTGGAGGAATACTTTGTGTGAGATTTTAAGTTCTTCCAGCTTTCAGTAAGGCCAGAAATGACACCAAAGTGGCCTTCCCACATTTCTACTTCTGGCAAGAATTGGGAATTGAAACAGCAGTGATAATGAAAAATCTATGCAAAAACTTTACACTGTTTTTTTTAAATGCAAAAATGGCTCTCTCTACATCTGTCAGTGGATTATTTCATCCATTATGTGTTCCTACGTGGAAAATATAATTCACATTTAATTCCTTGTGTGTCAACTGTACAGATGTCCTTATTCTGCTACCCTTACTAACACTTACTCCTTTTCACTCCACAGGATCATTGCCTTGAATATATATTACCGTGTGAGAATAAGGATTGCAGACTGAGATTCTAAGTGAGCAGGCCATGGGGTCTCCATGACGGAGAGTGAAATCCTGTGTGGAACAACAACTTTTCTCTATCCATGGTGCCTACCCACTAGCTTCATTAATAATGAATGCTGCTTAACTAGAAGCTAAGTTGTCATGAACTAGACAAATTAAAAAGAAGATAATGTTTTCCATTAATGGGATTACTGGAATAATATAGCACATCTCCTTTGTGCTGAGCTGCTAATACTTTGAAATATTTCACTGCTTTGTAGAGCTGATTTGTTCAAAAAGAGTTCCTTGTATATTTTTGTTCTTTATTAATTGCTTTTAGCCAGCAAAGCTGACAGAACTGTGTGACTGGTGCTCCTAGGTGCTACAACTACTAAATAATCATCATCGCCATCCTAGAATGATGCTTCTTAAGAAAACTAGATAGTTTTAAGGTATGATCTTATTTCCTTTAAAGATAATGGGTCAATTCCAATTGATTTCAACTGGAGAAGAATCAAGGTTAAAATTTTCAAGTCTAGTTAAGTGACCAAATCAAAGGGACTTTGACTTCTGAGTACGCAAGTGATTTATGGAAATGGGTCTTAAATGCTTTTAAAAATCATACCCAAATCTCTAATCTATACACTGAATTATTGCTACCTTCTTCAAGGTTTTAACATTTAACATTTTTATCAGAATCCTACCTACTGCACACTACATGGGTTTGGTGTTTCAGCAATCATTGTATGTCCTTCAAAGAAGCCAGCTTCCATTCTATGTATTTGCATTTTACTGTACCGAAACCAACAAAGAAAGGCCAAAACCAAACTAACAAAGAAGAGCATCCCCTTTCAGAAGGCCTCCAGCTCAGGGTACGTCTAGACTACATGCCTCTGGCGACAGAGGCATGTAGATTAGACTACCTGGCATAGGAAAATGTCGCTTCATTTAAATTTACATGGCTGCCGCGCTAAGCTGATCAGCTGTTTGTCGGCTCAGCGCGGTAGTCTGGACGTTGCGCGGTCGACATCAAAGGCATTTGTCGACCTCCCAGGTATCCTGGGAGGTCGACAAATGCCTTTGATGTCGACCGCGCAACGTCCAGACTACCGTACTGAGCCGCTACCTGGGAGGTCGACAAATGCCTTTGATGTCGACCGCGGAACATCCAGACTACCGTGCTGAGCTGACAAACAGCTGATCGGCTCAGCGCGGCAGCCATGTAAATTTAAATGAAGCGGCGATTATTTAAATCGCTGCTTCATTTTCCTGTGCCGGGTAGTCTAATCTACATGCCTCTGGCGACAGAGGCATGTAGTCTAGACGTACCCTCAATGTCCTTGGTTTTCTTATTTTTCTAGGAGGCAGGTAGGTTTTCTCCATTTCCCTTGGGCATCAGACTCATAGACTCATAGACTTTGTCAGAAGGGACCATTATGATCATCTAGTATGACCACCTGCACAGTGCAGACCACAGAATCTCACCCACCCCTCCTAGAATAATCCTCTCACCTATATCTCAGATATTGAAGCCTTCAAATACTTTGAAGACCCCAAGATGCAGAGAATCCTCCAGCTGTGATCTGTACCCCATGCTACAGAGGAAGGCAAAAAACCTCCAGGGCCTCTGCCAATCTACCTTCCCGACCCCAAATATGGCGATCAGCTAAACCCTGAGCATGTGGGCAAGACCCATCAGCCAGACACCCAGAAAGTTCTCTATAGTATCTCCTATCATCCCTTCATTGACCTATTTCCCACTGATAATGAATGGTCAATTATTTACCAAGATCATGTTATCTCATCAAACCAGCCCCTTCATAAACTCATCTAGTTTAATCTTGAAACCAGATAGATCTTTTGCCCCCACTACTTCCCTTGGAAGGCCGTTCCAGAACCTCACTCCTCTAATGGTTAGAAACCTTCGTCTAATCTCAAGTCTAAACTTCCTACTAGCCAGCTTATATCCATTTGTTCTTGTGTCCACATTGGTATTAAGCTTAAATAATTCCTCTCCCTCCCTGGTATTTATCCCTCTAATATATTTAAAGAGTGCAATCATGTCCCCCCTCAGCCTTCTTTTGGTTAAAGTAAACAAGCCAAGCTCCTTGAGTCTCCTTGAGACTGAGGAAGCAGCAGCTTAAACAAGTTTCTAAGTGCAACCAGACTCATAGTCAGAAAACTAAATCACTAAGGCCTACGTCAAGCTAGTGTTCAGAAGTGTGAGTGGGCCTGCAGCCTACAGCAACCGACATGGCTTTCAGTCTCTTTTTCCTCCTTCTCGGCTTCCCCTTCCTCTTTATATGCAGTCTTGCCCCCAGGGCAAGATAGGGTGCTTCTTGATCAGGGTGGGCAATAACACGGTAGCAGTTCACCAGGGTTAGCCTCTGGCAGGTCTTCTTTGCCCTTAGCTCCTATGGGAGCATAGGCCATCAACAATTTCTTTCCAAACCTCTCTGTCTTGTGCCACCTTTTCTAACTCTCCCCGGCTTTTGCCCATTTTCCTCACATTCACATCCAGGACTTTTCTACAACTATTCTTTGGCCTTCCTCTTCCCCTTTTTCCCTGTAGGTTCCAGGATAGGGATTGTTGGTGGCTTCCTCAGCCAATCCATCACCATCTTCTTCTCAAAATCTCTTGCTGTACTGGGCATTGCCCTGCTCTTTCCCATAAGCTGATGTTAGCAGGTCACTGCCTATATATTTACTTGCACATCTGCAGGTGCTGGTGATTACAGCTCCTGTTAGCTGGAAATGGCCCAACCCTGTTCTTGATTGTGCCCAGGACCTCTTGATTATAAGTAGGAGATTGTCCCTTAAAGAGTCGATAGATCCTTCCACAATTATTTCCATTTTGTTACCGCTCACAGAGTAGCTGATGTTAGCAGGTCACTGCCTATATATTTACTTGCACATCTGCAGGTGCTGGTGATTACAGCTCCTGTTAGCTGGAAATGGCCCAACCCTGTTCTTGATTGTGCCCAGGACCTCTTGATTATAAGTAGGAGATTGTCCCTTAAAGAGTCGATAGATCCTTCCACAATTATTTCCATTTTGTTACCGCTCACAGAGTAAAAAAAAACAAAAACAAAAACAGTTTTATATATATATATATATA